TTATTCACTTCCTAGTTTTTAGGGATTTAATTATTTCAACTTCTCCACTTTGTCCTTCTCGTCTTCCTTTGTTTTCATGTGTCTGTAATTGCCCTTGACTTGGTCTGCCCATTCCTGCCGAAAAATTGGGGCAATTTATTCCCTTTATGTTGGGAGGGGCATTGTCTTATCGATGGCATACTTACCGCCACACTGCCATCGCATGGTACTTTGCCCTTCCCTCTGGATGCCCTTATTTTGGAGCCGTGCGCTCCACTGGATTGTCCTTGACCAGGGACCGTATCCTTTTCTTAATTGTCTTCATCCAGACACCATGTTTGGTCAGACCCTCAAATCTTTTTCATGTCCACCAAGTACCATTAACTCGTTTAAAACGTGGGTTTCTCTGTGGCATGAGGGTTAAACCACTAAAAGAGTCGGATGGTCATAAGGACTAAGACGCATTAAGGGCATGCCCTCTTGTGGGGGTCTTAGGGTCTGTAATAACCCTGGGACTGGATTGTTATGAGGGCTGGAGGTTGGGTGGTCTTGAAGACGGAGGCCAAATTGAGGGCCAAAGGCTGAGTGGCCTTGAGGACTGAGGCAACCAAAGAGCCGAGTTCCTATGAGGTTTGAATAATCACAAGGACCAGACAATCTTAAAGGCTGGACTGTTATTAGAATCGAGTAGCCATGAAAACTAGGTAGTTTCGAGGATTGGTTTGCCATGAGGACTGAAGCGCTATGAGGCATCAGCCTTTTGGGGTTCTTGGTTGATATTGAGTTCTTTTTGTGGCAAATTTCGGTTATCTTTTTAGGTCATTTTAACTTGGGTCTAACAAATTCATAACTCTACTTTTTACTTCGAAAAGAATATTTTTTCATATATTTTATTTTTTATATATTATTTTAAACAATTTTTTATATTTTACAATTCTCGTTAATTGAAAATATTCAAAAATAAAAGAACCAATATACAAAAACAAAAACTAAAAAATAAAAAATAAGGCTTTAGCAACTCAAAGTTTGGCGTCAAATGTGGCATTTGTTGGAAGTAATCTAAATTCTTCAACTGAAAGTTGTGTTTGTTTGGGGGTTTGGATTTTGAGTTAGGATTTGAATAATAAAAATTTTGAATTTGAATAGTTGTATGATGTGATATGAATAGGTGTTTATGTGATGTTTTGAATGTAAAATTGATTTTTAGTATGATATAAAAAAATAAAAAATAGGTTTTTGATTTGATGTTTTTGGAGAAAAAAAAGGCAAAATAATATAAAATCCCCCCGTGGTTTCACAGAGTTGCTGAAAACCCCCCCTAGTTTTAAAACTCAAAAAAACCTATTTGTGGTTTGTAAAACGTTGCAGAAAAACCCTCCTCCGTTAGAACTTAACGGAGAGTGTATGTTACGTGCCTTAAATGCGAATTTTGGTCCAGAAAATGATAAATTTGTACGTGAAGTTACTAAAATGACCCTGTGACTTTATTATATGATTTTTCTCTCACCTAAAATTCAATAAACTTAGTTCTTCCCCAATGTCTTCTTTTCACCCGATTGTGTAGGTTCAAAATTCAGAATATATTCAATTCAAAGAATAAAAAAAATTGAAACGGATAGATCACGTTCTCAACCGATATTCATAAAAAATGAAGGCACACATAACTTAGTAAAATCAATAGAGAATTGTAATTTTTCATCTTCTCCCATATTTATCTAATGTGCAGAGAAACAATGTTAATTTACGTTTCTTTCTCCATTTTTGCAATATTTTTTAGGTTAAATTTTAGGAGCAAATAATTCATAATCAGAGAAGAACTTGGTGGGGCTGCCTGAAGAAGAATTAGGGAAGAAGAAGTAGAAGAAGGAGAAAAAAATATTGGTAGGAAGAAGAAGAAGAAAGGAAAAAATTGGAGAAAAAATACCTGGTGCGTGCTGTTGCGGCTGCGGGTGAAGAAGAATTGAGAAAGAAAATTGGGGAAAAGAAATAAGAGAAAGAATCTGGTGTGGCTATGCGGTGTGAAGAAAAATTGGGAAATGAGAAGAAGAAACTCAAACAATTAAGACTCAAAAGAACGAAAAATATTTTCCACCAATTGACTGACTGGCAAACAACTCCAGCCTATTCCGGCGACCGGCAGTGGCGGCGGTTCTCAGCAGCTTTCTTCCTCGGCGAACAAACAACGCGTTAATACTTCTGCCGACGATTTTTTCATAGATCTTCTAAAAGAAAATTACAGAAAAATAAGAAGAGAAATGAAGAAGAAAAAGATGGGAGTGGGCGTGTGAGAGAAAATGGAAGAAAAAAAAGTAGGAGAGAGAAAATTGTATAACGGTCCATTATGATATAATTTAACGTCTGTTAGTAGAATTTAAAGGGGAGGGGCGAGTCTGCAACGTTTTACAAACCGCAAGTAAGTTTTTTAGAGTTTTAAAATGGGGGGTTTTTCAGCAACTTTGTGAAACCACATAGGGATTTTATATTATTTTGCTGAAACAAAAATAGAATGAATAATAAATTTAAAATCCAATCCCCCGTACAAACACACCCTAGTGGCATTGGATTGGAGATTTAATAACTTGTTTCTTTAGCCAACTAATCTTACCAATTGGCTAAAGTCTTTTTTTTTTTTTTTTATTTTTTTAAAGGAATAAGAAGCCAATATATGTTAAATTACAGGAGATCATAAATAATTAAATATAAGAAAAAAAAAATAAAAACACCTGCTAAGTAATAAATGGAAAATAAAAATAAGTAAAATAATACTATTACAGTAAACCGCTAAGAATATCATGCATTTTGCTTATTTTTAATTATTTTTATATTACTGACTATTATTTAGATTTTAACCATAATTTTACTATTATAATTTTCTTTTCTCTCTAAAAATATCAAATCAAATATTCAATTTTTGTATATTTGATTACACTAAAATTTAATTATATACATAAAATATTATATTAATACATATTTATATTATACTCCCTCCGTGCCACATAAAATGATACAATTTCCTTTTTTTGGTTGTCCCACCTTAAATGATTCATTTTTACTACGAGTGGGGAATTAAAAGACCAATGCAGCATCAAAATATAATTAACAATAACCATTAAAATTAATTACCTTATTCTATTATTAATATAAAATATTTTATTTTCAATATATAAATAAACAAACCCACCCAAACACATAATATGATTAAAATAAATAATTAAATCATACAAATTCTAACAGCTTTGCAATTCTTTTCTCTCCCACTTTGCAATTCTTCTTCATTCCTAACGAAAGCCGTAGTCGATTTCGCCATGGATTCTAACCCCTCTAATCCGATTTTTTATGGGTCTTGGTCAGTCGCTACCACCTCGCTACCAAGGATGTCGAAGGGGGGAGTAATCGACTTTGATTCCGAGACCACCAGATTGTCTTTTTATTCATTCTCTACTCTACTGCATCTTGACTGATCTCTTGTATTTTTTTGTGAACGACAGTGCAAAGGTTAAATTTTTTATGGTCCCCTCGGTATAGTTTATAGCATATGTAATTTTGGAGGGAAACTATTAGGAGGGAAAACAAAATTTGGAGAGTATTTGGCATAATTTCATATCCAAATTGTTTTTTGGTTACTGCAATATCTTTTTGCTACAATTGATGCTGTATAATTTTGTTATTATCAAATTTGAAATAACTTATTATGTTAAAATTATGGTTAGAATGATTTTTTCTAGTTCTATTATTGTTGAAATTATATTTTTTATTATCAAATATGGAATGGTTTATTATGTTGTGTTAAAATTGTCGCTGAAATGATTTCGTAGTTATGACTGATATTGTATTTTTATTACTCCCTCCGTCTCATAACAAAGTATTCATTTTTCCATTTTAGTCCGTCCCATAACAAAGTATCCATTTCATTTTTTAGTAACTGTACTATCTACCTAACGTTACAAATACCCTTACAACTTACAATATATTACACAAATGTCATTACCTTTATATCACACGTACTAATAAGGTTATTTTAGTTATTTCTACTTTATTCATACTATATCTCAATATAATACTAATATTTCTAAAACTACTTGCAAAAAACAAATGGATACTTAGTTTCGGGACGGAGGGAGTATTAAATTTGAAATAACACGTTATGTTAAAATTATAAGTTAAATGATTATAATTTATTACACAGAAAATATAAAACACAATATAAAACTTTTCCTATTAAAACTATTTTTCATAAATTAAATTAATTTAATTTTAATTCAATATAAAATTTTAATTGTTAATTTTTTTTACTAAACATTTAAATTTGTTAGATTTTAAAATAAAATAAAAGTATTAAATATTATTACAATTTAAATAATATATAAAATTATTAACAATATTATCTATATAAAAAAATTAATAAACTTATAATATAAACTATCATCATTAGTTCACTAAACTATCTACTTTAACTCACTAAATTACATTAACTTAAATACCGTGCTACAACCCAAATGTATCACTTCAAGTGGGATGGAGGGAGTATTAAACAACTATTTCAATTCAAAATCAAAAACAAAAACTAAACACACCCATATTGTTTTAGAAGTTGTATTATTTTTTAATTTTTTTTATATATTTTTGTTATTTAAATTCTTTTTTTAAAAAATATTAAATTAAATATTTGTTTATATTATACTGTAGTTTTTTTTTACATTTTCAATATTATATCAACGTTTATTACATTAAAAAATTTGTTTGAATTCAAATTTTTAAAAAATTCAAACCCACAATCGTACGTTTGGCCGTCTGAGCTTCACCCGAGTCCAACTAGAATTCCAACCCGGATTTGAACCCAGTTACCCAGATCCGCGTAAATTTAAAAATTCAAATTCAAAATTGTACAGTATATGGAAAGAAGGGCGGCAACGGTTACCGTCCAGCTGTCATTTTCATATAATTTTTTAATTCAGAAAATTGGTGCCCTACAGGGTACAGTGAACGTTACGCCGTTGCAGCTATAAAACTGCCTCTGCTCTCAACTCCATAGCTCACTCAGAAACATTTCACCCAGAGCGTCTTCGTATACGCCTCTGGTTATTCCTCTGCTCTTTTTCTCCCCCAAATCTTTCTTTAGCGTCCTACAGATCCCTTTACGAAGCGAAAATGAGAGAGTGCATCTCGATCCACATCGGTCAGGCTGGTATCCAGGTCGGAAATGCTTGCTGGGAGCTTTACTGCCTCGAACACGGCATTAAGGTACGGTGGATTCTTCATTTCATTTGATTTTTCATGTTTCTGTTGTGGATCTATCAGATCTGGTGGTATATTGATGTGATTGTCTCAGATCTGGGGATTTGGTGTGTGTGTGGGTGTTGGTTTTGTTGTTTTGCTGAAATATTTCTCGTAGGGTTATATGTATATCATTGGATTGTAGATCGGTGTTTTTGATTCGAAAATAGAAAAGCCTTGCTGCGTTTTATCTGGATTTTAAGTTATAGCATCAGATCTAGAGATTGGTGTAATTTTTATGTGGTTCTGAGAGGCGAATCACAAAAATTGTGGATAGATCTTGTTTGTAAATGTCTTTTAATGTCTACGAGCTGTTCCGAATTAGTAGATCTAATCAGATCTAGAATAAAACCTCTTTATGTTGTTCAGATCTTTAAATTCCAGAAGCATTTCGAAACGTAATTCCCCATTTTATAAATGCATCGCCATTTTGTGAATCCTTCTGTGAGTTTATCAGATCCAGCGATATTACGAATTTCTGACGCCTTCCGTTCCTATTTTTGTAGCCCGATGGGCAAATGCCCGGTGACACCACCGTAGGCGGCGGCGACGACGCCTTCAACACCTTTTTCAGTGAAACCGGCGCCGGGAAGCACGTTCCGCGTGCAGTCTTCGTCGATCTGGAGCCAACTGTGATCGACGAGGTCCGCACAGGAACATACCGCCAGCTCTTCCACCCAGAGCAGCTCATCAGTGGCAAGGAAGATGCAGCCAACAACTTTGCCAGAGGTCATTACACCATTGGTAAAGAAATTGTTGATCTCTGCCTTGACAGGATCCGCAAGCTGGCCGATAACTGCACTGGATTGCAAGGATTCCTCGTCTTCCATGCTGTTGGTGGTGGTACCGGATCTGGACTTGGATCTCTCCTTCTTGAACGGCTCTCCGTCGATTACGGCAAAAAATCAAAGCTAGGGTTCACCATTTACCCCTCCCCTCAGGTTTCAACTGCTGTTGTTGAGCCTTACAACTCTGTGCTGTCGACACATTCCCTTCTCGAGCACACTGATGTTGCTGTCCTTCTTGACAATGAGGCCATCTATGACATCTGCCGCAAATCTCTCGACATCGAGAGGCCTACTTACACCAACCTCAACAGGCTCATTTCCCAGGTCCATTATTGTCTTCCAAAATATAAATTGTTCTCGATCTATTGAAAATCATCGCTAATTAAATCTTTGATCCAATCAATCTGCAGGTTATTTCTTCCTTGACTGCTTCACTCCGATTCGATGGTGCGCTGAACGTGGACGTCAACGAGTTCCAAACCAACCTGGTCCCATACCCCAGAATCCACTTCATGCTCTCGTCATACGCGCCTGTGATCTCTGCCGAGAAGGCGTACCACGAGCAGCTCTCTGTTGCGGAAATCACCAACACTGCGTTCGAACCGTCCTCCATGATGGTCAAGTGCGACCCCCGCCATGGCAAGTACATGGCCTGCTGTCTGATGTACAGGGGTGATGTTGTCCCCAAGGATGTCAACGCAGCTGTTGCGACGATCAAGACGAAGAGGACGATCCAGTTTGTCGACTGGTGCCCCACCGGGTTCAAGTGCGGCATCAACTACCAGCCGCCGACTGTCGTCCCTGGTGGCGATCTGGCCAAGGTTCAGCGCGCTGTGTGCATGATCTCGAACTCGACGAGCGTGGCTGAAGTGTTCTCGAGAATTGATCATAAGTTTGATCTTATGTACTGCAAGAGGGCGTTTGTGCACTGGTATGTTGGTGAGGGTATGGAGGAAGGGGAGTTCTCGGAGGCTCGGGAGGACTTGGCGGCGCTGGAGAAGGACTATGAGGAGGTCGGGATGGAGTCGGGAGATGGAGATGATGAGGAGACTGATGAGTACAATTGAGGAAGTAGATGATGATGGAGGGAGGAGTTGAGAAGAAGTGTTTATGATGCATGCCAAATGATCTCTTTGGTGTTTGTTTCTTTTTCTTTATGTACCGTTTGTGCTGTGTTTTGTGGTTTGGAACTTTATGTGGTTTTCTTCTTAGTATTATGAATTGAATCTGTTTGTGCTTGGAAGTCAGCAGCAACACAAGGCTTTATTATTGTGGTATATTTCTCTACTCTAGCCATGTTACAAATAAGGTAATGCTATAAAATACTATTTCTTTTGCTCCACATAATTTTTAATTTTTTTTAAAAAATTTTAATTAAATTATTTAGTTATTTTAATTTTAATTTATAATTATTTTTATTAAATAATAATTATTTTTACTAATATATTTTTTAATTGTTTACTAATTATATTTTATTTAAATTTTTGTATCTATTGAAATAGATCTAGATCGGGATGTATTAATAAGTTTGGGATAAATAAAAAAGGAAATATTGCAGGTATTTTTGGGACAAATAAAAAAAGAAATATTGCAGGTATTTGGGACGGAATGAGTAATTTATTTTTTTATTAGACAAAACATGTACTTTTTCTATTGAAGAGAGAATGTAATAAAGTTAATGTGGTATTACTTTGTAAATAAGTATCGAAGGAAAAAAATAATACTCCTTTTGTCCCATAAATAAATATTTATTTGTTTTTTGCACATAGTTTTAAAAATAGTAATATTATGTTGGGAAATGGGAAATATAGTAGAAATAAAGTAAAAATGACTAAAATAACTTTATGACATTGTGTAATATATTGTAAGTTGTAAGGGCAGTTACTTATATATAAAAAAAAAAGAAATAAATACTTTGTTATGGAATAGACTAAAATAGCAAAATAAATATTTTATTGTAGAACGAAAAGAATAAATATATTGATTTTTTAATTTTACCAAAATTAATAATTTAGATAAATTTAGTGGACGGACAGAGGGAATACCATTTTTTAAAATTGTCAATAAATACGAAAGAAGATAGAAAAGAGACAAATGGGGTGTGTTCTTTTAACCCAAAACATCACATAACCAAAAGAAACACACCACCTTTGTATTTGCGTGCGCATTGCTGCAAAGAACCAAGAGATGTGAGAATAGTCCTGTGCCGATTCTAAGTAGCTTTTTGTTTTTTTAATAATTAAAAAATAGTAATACATTTTATTAGTTAATAAAAATATGTAAAATGCGTACAGATAATAAGTGAATAATTTTATAAAAATTATAAGTATTTTGTTATTTATATATAAATTAATTTCATAGAGAAAAATATTTTTAAATATGTATGACGAACAAAAATAATACTCTCTCCGTCTCTTATCTATGTATTCGTTTGTTTTTTGCATGGAGTTTTAGGAATATTAGTATTATATTGGGGTGTGATATGAATAAAAGAGAAAAATACTAAAATAATGTTATTAGTATTATGTGATATAAAAATAATGACGTGTTTGTGTAATATATTATAAATTGTAAAAGTATTTTTAATATTATTAGAAAGTACAGTTATTATAAAAGAAAATAGATACTTTGTTATGAGACAGACCAGAATAGAAAAATTGGATTGATTGTAATGGAGGGCGAGAGTATATTAATTGGGATGAAAAGAAAATAATAGAAATAATATGTTAATTCTAATGTATTTGTTTCATTTCTTAGTAATTGTGCTTTTTATTTTTAATAAAATATATTTCTACACTCTATATAAAAAATAAATTAGTTTAAAGTTAAAGTAGAGAGCATTTTTTTAGAAAGTTCGAATCCTGTATAGAAAAAGAAAAATAATACTTCTTCCGTCCCGAAATTAAATATTAATTTACTTTTTGCACGTAATTTTAAAAATATTAATATTATATTAGGAATAAAGTAAAAATGACTAAAATAACCTTATTAGTACGTGTGATATAAAGGTAATGGCATTTGTGTAATATATTGAAAGTTGTAACGATATTTGTAATGTTAGGTAGATAGTACGGTTACTAAAAAAAGAAATGAATACTTTGTTATGGGACGGACTAAAATGAAAAAATGGATACTTTGTTATGGGACGGAGGAAGTACAAATAAATAAATAAATAAATAAATAAATAAAACCACAATATGAGAGTGTGTTGTGCTTTGCTGTAGCTGTGTGCTGTACGTCTTCAGATCTGATCTCCATCTCGATCTCGATCTCTCCTATCATTCTTTTATTTTCAATATGATTTTATAAAATTGTCGTTATTTTAGAGATTAATTGATTTTTAATATAATCAGATATAAAATATAAATATTTAACTTGATATATATATATTAAAATAACTGAATAATAAAAAATATTTAAAAATCTATAAAATAATAATATAACCTAAAGTATTATTTCAGGTATGTTTCTTTCGATCGTAGTTTGAAATATTTTGGTTTGGATTTGGTATTAAAATAATATATGATTAGATGTTTTATAAAAGAAAAATTAGAATTTTTTTCTGAAAATGCAAAATTCAAATAGTAAAAACTTAAAGTTTTGGGTTAATAAATATATTTTATTTTTTATTTTTGTCTCCATAATAATTGATGTATTTTTATTCTAAGTAAAATTTACTAAATTAATATATTTAACAAATATAAATTAATTTAATTAACTATATAATATAATATAATCTACTTAAAACTCTTTTATTTATTCTCTCTTAAAAAATGTTTTTATTTAATCTATTTTAAAACCTCTCATCTTTTATAAGATTAATTTATATTAAATATAAATAAATAAACATATATTTTTTATTTACTTATATTATAAAAAATTTTAGTTCTACAAAATAATAGTATTTATATTGTATATATTTTTTTATTGCAATATAATTTTTAAATATTTAATTTCTTTTAATTATATATATTAAATTTATTTTAAAACTACCAATATTATATTGATTACATAACAAATAATAACATAACTACTATTATTACTTTAAATATTGTGTCACTAATAAAAAAATTGTCAATTATTCTGAAATTGAGGGAGTACTAAATATTTTGTTTAGACTATTTTTTTTTAAAAAAATATTTTATTTAAAAAAATAATACTCTTTCAATAGAGCAAGTACAGTGAAGCAAATTTCGAAGACCTCACTTTTGAACTAAAAGAGCTTTTTCGTTCATCCAAAATTTTGATCTCGCAATGACCTAAATTTTGAGGTCGTAAACACCGACGTCTTGGGAGAAAGCCTTGTGCAATTGAAGCATCGAGGCATGTTCGATTTCCTTTCTCTATCTCACTTTCATCTCTTTCAAATACATCTTGGGGTGTGTTTGTTTGAGGGTTTGGATTTTGAGTTGGGATTTGAATAGTAAAAATTTTGAATTTAAATAGTTGTATGATGTGATATAAATAGGTGTTGATGTGATGTTTTGAATATAAAATTGATTTTTAGTATAATATAAAAAATGAAAATTAGGTGTTTGATTTGATGTTTTTGGGGGAAAAAAATTGGATGAATAGTATATATTTAATCCAATCCCTCAAACAAACACACCCCAAGTTCCACCGCTCTTCGACCTTGATCAATAGTGTTGAATCCTCACAGGTAAGTGCACTTTCTCTCACGCAGAGCCGGCTTTTACTAGGAGCAATTCGAACAATTGCTTATGGCCTCTACTAGGGTCAATATTTTTTAATTTTATCTTACTATTATTAGATATATAACCATTTAAATTAGATTTTATCTCTTATTATTTTCAATAATTATTCAATCTAATTTTCATTCTAAAATTAAATTCTAACAAAAAATTTCTAAAATTAATTCTATCTTCTTCGTCTTTAGAATTTGTAAATATTTTTAAAGTTCATTATTATTATTAGACATATTAAAATTTAATTTAAATTTATCTCATATTTTTCTCTACAATTATCTAATCCAATTCTAATTCTAATAAACTCTAACTAGAATTTTTTAAATTAATCTCAAATCCAATTATAATTCTAATAAATTCTAAGAAGATTTTTTTTAAAAAAATTAATTCTATATCCATCGCCTTTAGAATTTTTTAGTTATTATTATTGAATTATTGATTTTAATAGTCTAAGATATTGAGAAATTTTATAATAGTCAAGATAAGATATGTATTGCAAACTAGGTTCGACAATTTATTCCATACCAGCGAAAAAAATATATTTGTTTATAGGATCTATTATTAATTTTTTACTCAGGGCCTTGAAAATATCCTAGACGGCCCTGCTCTCACGATATTGTCTCAAATAATTTTGTGCACAATCAATTGTGTGTTTGCTTTCCTAGCTTCGAATCTCGATGACTTTCAAATAATAAAAAAGATCTCTTTTAGAAAAATCATGATTTGGACTATTTCAATTTCGATTTGGAGTTGAACGATTTTAAAGTAGTTGATGAGTTTGGAGTGATGGGTGATGATTATTGTTTTGGTTTTATTGTGTTGTTGATTCTTTAGTAATTTGTTGATCTCTTCTATGTTTTACCAATATGCTCTCATTCAAGTAATCATTGATTTAATTCTATCACAAGAACTATAAGTTAGCTCATGGTTTGTTTTTATTTTTGTTTTGTTTTGTTTTTGTTTTTGTTTTTTTTTTTTTTTTGAGAATTTATGATCAATGTTCTGGTATTTCAATAAATCTATTTATCTTTCTTTGCGGACATATAAATCAATTTAAATATTAACAATGTAAAATTGTTTATAATCCGTATGTGGTTAGGAAAGTTAGCATTATATTCATATGTGATTTAAAAATTGCGCAGGACTATATTTTTAATTTTTTTTTAGACAACATTGGAAATATTCTCTAAAATTGTAGATATTTTTTAAAATATTACATAAATTTGTTGTTACACGAAAATAAATTCTATTGACAATAGCTTATCGCCAATGTTGAATAATGTCAATTGATTGGATCAAATCGACTTAAATTAATGGAGCTCAAGTGCAAAAAATCATGGTCCAACACAATTGATTATTATGTAGCTCAAGGATTGATCAATCAATTAATTGGTCAATATTCACATTCAACTCAGTGGATTAATTGGCCATTATCTTAAATCTTATTAAGAGAGTAAGTGATCATTAATCGATCAATTATGTGGCGAGAGTAGTGACCATTAATCGGTTAATTAAGAAGAATGTAGTGCCCTAAGTGAAGGGAATAATTGGTGAATATTTTGGAGAGTGGAAGGAATGGTAAATGATGATTTTTGGTCATGAAAAAAGCAAGCCAAACAAGAGAGAGAACCACATCTCATCCAATAAATTTATCATTTCATTTCCTTTGGTTTTTTTTTTTTTTAAATAAAATAAAATAAAATTTTATTTATTATTTTTCTCTCTTTGTTTTTTTTTTTAAATAATGTAATTTGATCTTGAATTGAATACAATTCGTTTGCACTGCCTTTCTTCAATTATTTTTGTGTGCTTTGTTCCTAAACTTATCGCATACCACCAGAGGTTCGCATCGAGTCATCTGGGAATCCACCAATCCTTCCGGCGAGAAATTTTAGGCAGGAAATTATTTTTCAGGCCAACATAATTCGCACGCCTAGTGGGATGCAACGGCGTATGCGATAACAACTGGAAAAAGAAATTTGTTCATATGGCGAATCAAGAAAAGAACGGCGATGAGTTGTCGGACACCTTCCATGAGTTGTCCATCCAAAACAATTTGCGTCGAGAATGTGCCACTTTGCTGGTAGGGGGGGCACCAGTTCATCCGAGCGGATGGTGACTGCCTTTATTCGCGAGGAAATATCATCGGCGATGCAGGCAAGCCTCGTGTTTGATATGTCGCACCAAAAAAATTTATAATTACCTTCCAGAAAAGAAAAGAATAAATTATACTTCCTCCGTCCCAATACAATAGTCTTGTTTACCACTTTTGTCCGTCCCAAAATAAGTCTCATTTTCATAAATAATCATATCATCATAAAAATATCCATACTTTTTCATTATTATTACACAATTGTCACCTACACTAATATACTCACAAGGGCAAAAATGTCATTTATCATTACATTTTACCCACTACCAATATAATATCAATATTCTTTAAATCTCGTGTTCAATACAATAGGACTATATATTTGGGACGGAGGGAGTATGAGATAGACGAAAATAAAAAAACAAAATGATATTTTATGTGAGACAGATAATATTATTTTTGAAATTAGATCTTGCATAAATTTCTATCAGTGCAATTAGCTAAAAATACAATACTCCCTCCCATCGTTGTCCCCGAGCTCCGTCTTCTCCCTCCCCATCGCTCATGTCCAATGAGAGAGCTTACGAGTTCCCAATTTACAATGAAGAAGTTATCCGACGAGAGGTCACATGCGCAAGCGCTATGAAGGCGATCTCATCCCTTCTGCGGCTAAAAGGCAATACATTGCGGATCCCTCTACATCCACTAACTCGGTCTCGTGTTCTTCTTCAAAGCCCCGCCTCAATATCTACTTAAACAAGTTGCCACCAATATCTGATTACGTCGAAGAAATTCAGTTAGAACCATGACTAGTAGAATTCTTCCAAGTTTGGTGGTCTTCCATACTTGTTAATATTATGTTTGGACTATAATTTTTTCATCGATGATTTGTATGGATGTCCATGAATTTGGGGTTGATTGATAGTAGAATTAATTTGAATCGACAAAAGTACTTGATTTAATATAAATATATACTTAATATGTTATGTTAAATTAAAAAAATTTAATTTTTAATATAATATTAGAAATTATGAAAAAAATTTCATTCACGCACTATTAGGGATGTCAAATGGGGCGGGTTAGCCCCGGATCCGCCCCGGACCCGCTCTTAATGGGGCGGGTTCGGGTCTAAATAATATGTTTCGGGGCGGGTTGAGGATTTAAAATTTTAAACCCGACCGCGGGTTACGGGTTTTACTAAAAAAATTTTAGATTTTAATGCTATTTGTTTTAGTATTCGATTGTTAAAAATATATTTATTATTATATATTTTTTAAAAAAACGGGTTTGCTGGGTTGGCCCCGAATCCGACGGGGCGGGTCCTGGGGCCGGGTGGAAGCGGGGCGGGGTGGGTCTCGGAGCCTAATATTTTCTAGCGGGGCGAGTCTTGGGGCCTGCAGAACTCGTCCTGAACCCGGCCGTTGACATCCCTACGCACTATTTATTCTCTTTGATTTTTCTCACTAATATTATTATATGCCTAGGATATTTTGGCCTTTTGTAGTCTAACTTAACGGCTGTCTAGTTCAAGTGAATTAGTTATAACCGTCCGTGCGGTAACATTTGTTTGTATACTGAGGAGTCACCGGTCGTGAATAAAAGGGAAAGTGTGTTTGTTTGGTTTCTGTTATTTAGGAATATAAATGACAAAGCCAAATTGTTTAGAAATTGCACATGATCAAATTTGTTTGTTGGTTTATTCCAAGGATGGTTAGATTATGATCAACCAAACAACAAATTTGGTACGGATTATAAAAAAATTATTTGTTTCTTGATTTTATTAAATAAAATATTCAGATAAATCTATACAAACTAGATTCAATAATCCAGCCAATTAAATTTATTCTAATTCTCATTCACTCTCTCATTATCTTTCTTTCAAAGATGATGGATTCAAACAATCCCCTATAATTGTTTATTCATTATGCATAAAGGATTAAAGATTATTAACAAAGTGAAGGTTTATCTGCATCAGACTTTCACAATTAAAGACCTTGGTTCGATCGAGGCCAACTATTTTTTTTGGCATTGAATTAAAGAGACATTTGTATTGTCTTAGGTTAAATACATAAAAGACATTATCGAGGATGTTGTGGCTATTTGTGCTCAATATGGAAGGGATATGCGTTAACTTCTCTAGACCCGACCTTTGTTATGCAATTCGACAACTTAGTAAGTTCGTGAGTCTTTTCGTCACCTTTTAAGATATTTGAAATGAACATTTACATTGTATAGAATCTTATTTTTTCAAGAAAGAACCAAACACATTGAAATGGATTGTCATTTCATCCGTCCATTGTGATAGTCAACTTGTCCTCCACATTACATAAAATCTTATTTCTTCATGAGAGAACCAAAGACATCGAAATTACATCGAGAGATGAGTACATAATTATCCGTTCATGTTTCATTCTTTATTTATTGGCTAAATTGCACAAAATCCACTTGTAGTTTTAAGGCTAAATATAAGAAAAATAAATATATTTATAATTTTAAAAATTTAGCCTATTAGCTGAACTGAAGGGCTTCTGCAACGGCATTATATTCTGTTATGGTTATTTTTCCTTAGGCTATTTCTATGGAATCTTTCATAATCTAATCAATCTGAAATTGAATCATCACAAATTCACAATCAACATCAACAACACAACATTCTACATAATCACTAATAATAATCATAATAATTTGTCGACGGATGCAAAATATCAATAATCTCAACCAAATCCAAAATTACACTTCATATTCATACCAAACATCTTTCATCATCATCATCATCATATATATAAGCTTCACATTCAGCTCTTGGAAGCTTGTTTTTCCTTTGCTTTCTGAATCTTCAGAACTTTCTTCACAATTTTCTGCTCTTCAACCAGGAATGCCCGAATAATCCTATTTTTTTTTATATATACAATACTTGTCATGAATAAAATGAATGAACCCCAGATAAAGTAAAATAAAAGAATTACACAACTTGCCTCTCCCTCACAGCACTTCCGGACAATACTCCACCGTAAGCACGGTTTACAGTTCTTCGATTCCTCGGTAACCTAGACCTCTTGTACTCGGCAGGTCTCAAATGGGGAATCTGCCATCAAGAATACCCGCAAACCCCAATTCAATTTTTTTATAAGAATAACTACATCCCTTGGATAACCAATAACTAAACCGGTTGCAGTTGATACAGTCTAGATAAACCCTTAATAGAAATTATGGCTGCCACTACGAAATCCAAATTCTTATTTTAAAAACAAAATCTACGAACTTGATTTGAAGGCACGCATATACATCTCTTTCTCAACTAGAACACCTAAGGGCCTGTTCTGCTCGAAGGGTTGGTTAGATTTGATATGTTAATGTACCAGGAGCAACTCATCATTCGGGTATTTATGATTATGATTAATCAATCAAATATGTTCTTTGTGTAATAGGGATCATGTTATGAATGAATAAAGCAAATAGCTGATTATATAAACATCTCCTTTTGGGAATAAATCATCTTTTTAGTAAGCATATCAGACAAGGTAAGCACATTAAGGTTCTATGCGATATGATTATAGCATACAATTAAGGCTCTAAAGGACTTGTACGATTCAACGTTTCAATTAACTATATAATCAAGTTTTTTCGGTTGATCTGCAACAATGTCAACATGTTAAGGTCGATAATTAAATCAATCCTACAAAACTCTTCAAGAAAAACAAAACTATTAGATGCACAAATGACTCTACTCCATCAAAAGTTCATCCTTGTCAACAAAGAAGTCAAACAAACTAACCTATCCTCGATGCATTTTCCACTAACACCGACAAAATCCATTAGCCATTCGACTCAACTATTACATAGCAGCATCTAAGCATCATCGCCCAACTAGTTTCTCAATAGTTTGCAAGGATGCAAGAGCAGTAACAATTCAAAGTTCAATACATCCATACAAAAAAAAAAAAAAAAAAAACACTAATAAAAAACAGAGCAGAACAAGATTCAATCAAAGTAGCAACAGAGAAAATCAACCAACGAATCAATAAAAAATGCCGATTAATTTAAAGCAGTTCCATAACGCTGAAATAAAATAAAATCGCGCGAATCGAAACTCCGTAGAATCGAAGAAGACAAGAGAAGCAGTAAGTACCCCTTGAATTCTCTTGCCAGTGACGGGGCATTTAGGTCCACTAGCTCGCTTCTTCGTGCTCTGGTACACCAATTTCCCTCCTGATTCATACCATAAAACGAATCAAACCCACAGAACTTGTATGAACACCACAAACTCAAAGGAATTCTCGAAAACGAACAAATTACCTGGAGTTTTCACTACTCTATGCTGGTTCGATTTTGTGGCATAGCTGTGACGCGTCCGATAAGTGAGCCGCTGCACCATTTCCGTTGCCGACCTCCAAAATCCCTCGCCGCCTCTGCACTGCTACTGCTAGGCTACTCCCTTAACTACTTCAACCATATAAACAAAAGAACTGATTGCAAAGCCCTAGATCCGACGGCTCTGATTTGATTCCGTGTTCTGAGCTGTGATTATCTCAGCCGTCCGTTTATCAAAACTAAAGTCGCACTTCCCTCGAGATAAATCGTGTTTGCATAATAAGCGCTATCTGAAAATGAACTTACTACGGAATAAGGTTTAGGGCCTTAGCCCATTTGGTTCATTTCAAGATTTTAATAGGATGTTTGGTTTGAATATTAGATTTTGTTTTCAAATAAAAATGAGTATTGTTATTTTCAATAAAAAAAATATGAGTATTGTTTTTTTATATATAAATTATTTTATAAAAAAATATCAATTTTAAATTTTAAATCAAAATCAAACAAATATTTATTATTTATTGTACCTTTTTAATTTATTCTTTTTAAATATCTGTATTTTTAATAACTAATAAAGTTAAAGTCTCTGATATTCGAAATTAAAGTTTAACATTTGAGTAGTTCATATCAACTTCGGAAGTGTCATATCAACATATATGACAATATTGGAAAAATAGTTTTTTTACTATAGATTGAATATGACCAAAATAATAATACGCGTCACATACTATATTAAAAATACTTACATCGGTGCAAATTTATTTCATATTTTGTCTATTATTATGTCTCAAAATTATACTCCTATCTATTACATTTTAATATTATATTTTATAAACTAATATTTTGATTAAGAATCTTAGGATTGAATAAAAGTATTTTTTATATTTTATTTTTCTAAAAAAAAAATTGAATAAAGAGTATTTAAACTCTTTTTTTTTTTTGTCACAATTGATTTGTTTCTTTTATTTTTCTAAATATATTTTTATTATTCAATTTTTCCTTAAAAATATTCATATGATAAAAACTAATAGAATAAAATAAATACAAGTATACAACCCAAAATTTTATTTTTCCCCAAAATATTCAATAACCTGTCATAATATATTATCCAAAAAGATCCAATAAATCGCTATAAATTGTAGTATAAAACGCACCGTGTTCTATTTATTATATGAAATTCTCTTGTGTTAATTTAAAATTTGCATAAAATATTATTTTTGTCCGAAATTGATGTTTAGTTCTAAATAAAGATATAAACTACGCAAGTTTTATATAAATAAAAAATAAAAAATATTTTAAATACTTTTTAAAAATAATATAAATAAATAAATAATTGATCAATCATTTATTTTTATAATTTTTGTAAAAATCAGATGAATTTGTCTTCAAAAATTATAAAATAAAGGTTTAATCAATTATTTATTTACTTATTTTATTTAAAACATTTATTTAAAATATTTTATCTATTTTATTTGTATAAAACTTGCATTATTTGATTCATATTACAATCAAATATCAGTTTTAGACGGAAAAAAATGTTTTGTGCAAATTTTATATTAAGATAATGAGATTTCATGCAATAAATAAAATACAGGATATTTTATGCATGTTTACTAAAATATAAGGGGATGTTATATAATTTACTCAAATATATATATGAACTTAGCTTGCTTTTAATATACGGGTAAATTATATAACATCCGCTTATGTTTTAGTAAAAATGCACAAAACACCCTGTATTTGTAACCCTATTGTGTTAATGTAAAATTGCACGAAACACCATTCTTATCCAAAACTGATATTTAATTATAAATAAATACCTAAATTACGCAAATTTTATACAAATAAAAAACGCAAAATATCTTAAATAATTTTTTTTCATTAGATAAATAAATATATAATTTATTAATCGTTCATTTTATAGTTTTTGGAGATAAATTGTTGTCTGATTTTTATAAAAATTATAAAAATAAATGATTGATCAATTATTTATTTATTTATTTATTTTATTAAAAAAATTATTTAAGATATTTTATGTTTTTTATTTGTATAAAACTTACGTAATTTAGGTTTTTATTTCGAACCAAACATCAGTTTTGGACAAAGAGGGTGTTTAATGCAAACTTTCCATTAACACAAGGGGTTTCATTGCAGTAAATAAAACACAGAGTATTTTCTGCATTTTTAGTAAAACACGAGGATATATTATATAATTTACCGTTTAATATACTATTTATTAAATATTGTATTTTATATATTTCCTCTACCCTACTTTATTTGTTCTTTTTTTTTTAAAAAAAATAGTATGTCTCATCTTATTTGTCATTTTTTAAAAAAAATAAAATATGATTATATATTTTAATTATATTATATTATATAATAACAATTTTTAATAATGTATTTCTTAATTATTTTGTGAAAAAATATTGTATTTTTATTGAAAATAGGCGAAATAAAAGGCACTAATTTAAAATTAAAATTACAAAAAAATAAACTCTTAATATATGAGCTTGTAGATGGCCATATTTGATGCCAAAAGCTTCCACAACAAAAATTGTATAAGAAAGAAAAAATAAAAATTGTAAATTTATCTGAGATAGAATCAAATTTACACTAAAAAATAATAATGAAACTAATTTTTTATAGACCGATTTATGTATTAAGACCCAATATATTTATTTTATTGTTTTCATATTATTTAAATATATTATAGAAAAAATTTAAAAAAATTATATCTGACACTTTTTTTTTAAACACTACACATACATAAAACATCATACTATATATAAACAAAAATCATTGAAAAAAAAATAAATCATTGGTATGCTTATTTATTCTTATTCTTATTACTTACTTTTTTACAATTTTTACTATTACATAATATCTTGATATTTTTATAAAAATATAATATGATACTTATTTTTATTCAAAATATTATTTTACCCAAAAAAAGAAACAAAATTTAAAAAAGAAAAAGAAAACTCGATAAAAAATGACTATTAAGGACATTGATATATTATTTTTTAAAAATATTTAATTTTGTTCATTTTGGTTTGAAATTTATGAGAATTTTTGTTATTAATTATTGAAAATTATAAAAATATTATAAAATATTTAATTTTATTTTTATTATTTAGATTTGAGAAAACTATTTTTATTAAAAAATAAAAAAAATTATTAAAATTATTTAAAATATAAAATAATAAATCTTTCGTATATATATTTTTATTATGTTATTTATTATTTTAATATATATAAATAAATTAAATATATTAAAAATAATTAATAAATACTGCTATAAAAATATATTTATATGTATAAAATAAATAATTAAGTTTTAAGGATAAATAAGGAATAATCAAAATTAAAATGAAAATTTTTTTCCAAAACGCTGGGTCGATTAGCTTTTCATAATTAGCTTTTTTGAGTTAAAAAAGCTCTTTCAAAAAGTTAATTTACCAAACACTTAAATTAACTTTTTGACTGGTAAACAACTATAAAAAGCTGTTCAATAAGCTAAAAGCTCTTTAAAAAACTTTTTCCAACACCTTCTTACCCACCCTATAAATTTAATAATTTTTTAATATATTAGCTAGAGTATACCCTATTTCATTTTTCAAGGTTAAATTAAACGAAGGGGAGAAAAGAAAGAAGAAACAATATTAGCTTAATAAATATGATTGTGAAAGACTCAAAGGTTGACATCAAAATTAATTTTTTAAATAAATAATTTTGACATTTTGTAATAAATTAATTCTTAATTAAATGGTTAGGAGTCAATATGGATAATGTCAAGTTTTACGCGTTTTGACCTTAAAACAAACGGCCAAATAAGCCGTAACTCGACTTGGTCTAAATGCTATTATAACTCATAATCAAATTAATTTCTTTTAATACTATTAAAGTTGTTGTTATTATTATTATTATTATTATTATTATTATCAGGGAAAAAATCATTTTTGTCATCGTATAATCAAAATTCATCAATTTTGGTCACAATACAAAATTTTATCAATTTTGGTCCTAACATAACCAAAATTCATCATTTTTTGTCCAAATATAACCAAAATTCATCATTTTTTGTCCAAATATAACCAAAATTCACTATTTTTGGTCCAAATATAATTTTTTTTTTTTTTATCAATTTTAGTCACAATATAACCGAAACTCATCATTTTTTGTTTCAATATAATCAAACCTTATCCTTTTGTGTCCCACCGTCAACAAACCGACGGAAAATGTTGATACCAGAAGAGGATAAAGTAGGAGGAGCATTTCAGGGGATCATTTTTATCTTTTTTTGTCCCACCGTTAACAAACCGATGGAAAATATTGATACCAGAAGAGGATAAAGTAGGAGCATTTCAGGGGATCATTTTCCTAGAGCTCCATACTTTAGTGAAAATTTTTCTTGCAGTAATGCATCCCGAATGATGTTTAGAACTTGTCCGTACTATGATACAGGATATTTATACCAATGTTGGGAAGAGGCACATAATGAAAATAAAAAAAACTTTGGATGACATGTGCCAGGGAATTCATTGCATCTCAGCAGGGAAAATGCTTTCTGAAAATTACACGGGAATCCCTGTTGTTAAAGTTCATATAAATGGAGAAATGCAGGATGTAGAATCTCCATCTTCTGGTTCCTCTACAAATGAGAGCTGCATGTCATTTCATTTTCCGTCGGTTTATTGACGGTGAGACAAAAAAAAGATAAGATTTGATTATATTGGGATAAAAAATGATGAGTTTTGGTTATATTGCCACCAAAATTGATAAAATTTTTATATTGGGACAAAAATGATTATATTGGGACCAAAATTGATAAGATTTTTATATTGAGATGAAAATTGATAAATTTTGATTATATTGGGACCGTAAATTTTTTTTCCCCTATTATTATTATTATTATTATTATTAAGCAATGATATATATTTTTTAAAATTTTAAAGTAATGAAAAATAATAAATATTAAAATATTTAATTGATGTTTTTATAGTAAAATAAAATTATTAATAAATAATACTAAAATTATAATTAATATATATAAATATAGCAATTAGCATTCAACATCTTTCGTTAGATAGCAGACATTATATTATTAAAAAGTAAAATTTGAATACATACTAAAACA